TGTATTTTTTATTAATTTAACAAATAAACATGCGCAGACAAATGCAAATAATTATCCAAAATATCACAAAATTCAAAAATTGCACACCAAGGAAAATTGTTTTATTTTAAATTTTTTGGGAGTAATTCTTTCATAGAGCAAAAATCACGTGCTTACAACTGACAATCTAGTTTAGCAAACTACAAGTGCTTTCGGTGGGTGGAAAAAGGCGTCATGTAACAGAACACTATGCCTCATGTTTGATCTAGGAACAATCTGGCTAGATCAGATTGCTTCTATATAATCTGGCTAGATCAGATTGCTTCTATAGTATACCATGCTAGACCTCTCAGTACTATTACCTTGATAGGTAAACAAGAGACAACTTCTTTATCTACACATGAAAACAAAGAGGCAAGGAGCTACAAAAGCTATTGCAAAAAGTGAGATTCTTGTTATATAGCTCAGTTGAATTTGGTAGATTTATATTAGAAATATCCAGTATGCTTGCTCGGGTACCTATCTCCTAAGAGAGGAAGATAAAAGAAGGGGAGACCGGAGATGGTTTTGGAAGGTTGAACTTGTTATGATCTACCACCCCTTTCATGATAACTCTCACAATTACCTAGTGCACACAGTACTTCTCTAACTAAAGTTGCTCGAAGGCTACAGTCTTAACAGTATGTTAGATTTACAAAAAGACAAACTAACGTATCTCTAGCTTCCTCTATTGAGACTTTAAACCCCTAAAATGTACAAATAAGCATCCATACACACCAATAGTTCTGCAATAAAAAGAAACTGACTTTAAATTATAAGAACGTTAATAGATCAGTGCTTGTACTTACAGATAGATGTTTCCATCTTTACAAAAGGGAACTGCTCATGGGATTCGCAAAGAGATGTCGTTTTAAAATAATCTTTGAATTCATGAATTGCCTTCCAAGAAGGCCACTGAGAATGGCAGGTGGCCCAGCTGTAGTTTCAAACATTTTACGCACAATGATATGGTTATCCAGAATCATCATCTCTAACAAAGTTCTGCAACTCTTTAAGACAAAAGGCAACATATTAGCATTTCTCAGAGGCATTCAAAGCATGTACTGACAACCTTTCTCTAAAGCCATCTAACTGGAATGCTAAGTTACAGAATTTCATGCAATATTACAGAATCTGGCACTTTGTGGTCACAAAGAAAGGAAATTTATACTTCCTCGGATAAGTAGCAATATATGATAGACATTACTCTAGTGCAAATCCCAGAACTACAGAAGTTCTTGGAAAGAAGTTGAACGTAAGAGGTGGTATTTATAAGCTCTCAGGTACTTAGCTCCACGATTAGATAAATGGGAGAAAAACTAGTCCAATTAAAGTTGGATTTCAAATCTCTTTATAGCAACAAATACTTGGCAGCAAGAAGATGCAGTTAAGACTGGTAAGTTTTGAACGAGAACAATAAATTACATTCATTTTCGGTAGGACTGGGCCGAGAAGGTCGTCGGGTATTATTTTATACCAGAAATGTAACCATGTAATTCAGTTCATATCCTTAGGTGATGGGTAGTCATGATAAATAGAAAATTCAGGTCTCGCTATGAAATCATCATGATTGTTCAGTCAATGGGAAACGTACACTGGGGCACTGATGAATAGTTTGTTCATGGAAAGTTTACAAATGGATATATACCTGAGGATTCAGACCATGCATCTGGTCGATAACATTATCCTGCAACAAAAATTAAAAGAAGCATTTATAAGCTCATATCGGGAACAGGCTTCATCAAAAATACTGACTGCAGTAATCACTTTCTATCCATGCAAATTAACATGCCAACATCACTTCTGTAATGGTCTACAGCTGCATGTCATAATCAACTGATATGCACCACATTTCATATAAGATACCGCAAGTTTAAAAGTGCATACCTCTAGAATTCCTGGATTCTGCATTATGATACCCAGAGCACGAGACACAAGTTTTCTGTAGACAATGTTGTTGACAGTGCCATCGCCATCAATCCAAAACAATATTGGCTTACAGAAATGAGATTTTGCAGTTTGGAAGTCCAGTGGATCATGGTCATTATTTGTGCTTTGCCTTTCAAGTAAAGGTTCAGAAGGTTGCTCTTGATCAGTGGGATTATGGAGTTCAGCGGCTTCATGTTTGCTTGGTGCTGCCCCTTTAGAAACTCCCGAAGGAATGACCAAAGAATCTTGTTGAGCAACAGACATAGTGGATAACACATACTTAGAACGATATAATGAATCAACCACATGAACAGAATCATAAGCATTGACCTGCATTGAAGGTACAATAGGTTATAGGAGCAAATTACAGAAAGTGGAAACCCCCCCCCCCCCAATTAATGCTTTCATATCTCGTCTCTCTGTAGCATCACTGAAAAACCATTACCCGTGTACCAAGATGAAAGGAGCAGGGAAAAGGATCAATCGTAAATCAGATAATGACAAGATGCCGATCTTTGCCAACTTACACCCTTTTCTACTCCATAGGTGTGTATCAATCATGCGAGTTTATCTGGCGGATAAGACAGTTACCACTTACCAGCACCAGGGCATTGACTTAGCTTACTTGGAACAAACATACTAATTCATTGTTTTCTGGCACAATCCTCAATAAACAGTTTGTGTAGTTTTACCGTCTATCCGCTATCTAGAGGGGGACATTTTTCTGGACACTATTACCAATACAAAAGGGAAAACACGTTACATGGTCCAAAGTGTTGTAGTATACAAATTCCTCTATCTAAACCAACCAGGCCTTGAAAAAGGGAAACGAACCATATCACTATTCCCACCATAAGAAATACTCCATCCATCTCATAAAGATAGATCTAGTTTGATTGGGGTGGAGTTTAAGAGAGTAAAATGTTTGAATACATTTCCAAGTTGATAGAGAAGTGCTTAAATAATAGTTTGAACTTTGAAAGAGTGGAATAGTTAATTGAAAATATGTCACATCAAGTTGAAATAATACAAACTAGTAGTAATAAACCTATACTAATATGAATTTTTGGAGGGAGTTAAATTTACCATTTGTCGCAATAGTTCTAGCTTTTCCGGACTGACCAAAAAGAAAGGAGGTCAATTTTAATGGAATGGAGAGAGTACTTCTCTGTCTACTTTCTTTTATACTTGTGTAATATCAAATTACCACCACTAGGAAAAAAATTAAAATTAACAACTACAAAGCATAGTACCTTCAATACTTGTCCAAAAGTTTCAAGGACGTCGACAATAATGCCCAGCAGCTTTTCCCCTGATAAAGGACAAAAACTCATCGCATCACTCTTGTGATATTTTAATCAAACAGAAAAGTATATGAAAACAGAAGAGTTTCATACCCTGAACATCCACAGACATTGAGATTTCTTTCATGCTTAGACCCTGGTCACCAGCCTTTTGAATGGCCAAAAGTAAAGACCTAAAGAGCTGTGGGTTAAATGCAGAACTTTCCTTTTTAGAAGAAAAGGAGCAAAACTGTTCAGCACAGCTTGCCATGGCTTCCCAGAGCAACTCTTTGGAAGACACTGCTGTGTATCTGTAACTCTCATTCTCATGTGTTTCCTTTACATGATTTTGTCCTTCGAAGTAAGATGCGCTACTGCTAGCTTCAAGAACTGACATGAACTTGACTTGACTTTCTTCACCAATTTGTGTCAAGGGCTGATTGTCATCATCTTTAAAAAATTCTACAGCTTCTCTGCTGAAAAATGTTGCACGGCTCAAGGATAAAGTAATATCAGGAAAACCCTTTGCTCTGCGACCCTCACCTTTGCCAATCAACCATGGTCTCAATTTCTTACTCCTGTTTCCATCCCAAAACTCACAAATATTATGTTTACGTTTGAGAGTTCTGGCATCCTTAGCCTCTCCAACACCTTCATCTGGAAGGCATGGTATAATTGACAGTTCTCCTGAAGACAACAGACCACATAAAGTTAAGACGTCACCACCTTGCAAGTCTGGCAGAAGATCAACCCCACCATTTATCATCTCTTTTTCTCTTTGATGCAGCCAGGTTGAAAATCTAGCTGCTTGTGCTCCAGTTTCTCTTTGAAGCGGAGATAAAAACATACTATTCAAGATGTTCGGAGGAAATACAACGGTGCCTTTGGCTGTAGTCCTGATCTGCGTAAAGGTGAAGGTGAGGGCATTTAGTATAATAAGGAGAGAATAATTGCAGATGCTTGCCATCGATTAAAAAAAAAATTTGCACTTTGCTACACATATCCTTCTATACCAGTTTCACTGAGTCATCTTACTATTAGGGAGCGGCTTATAGAAACAGGGTAACCAGGTTGGTCTCACCTGCAAACTACCATCCAAGAAATGAGCTAATACACTAACGGGGCACTTGTATCGACAAAGCTATGCGTCTTAATACCTGGACACAAATACTGGCCCCACAATACAACTCTCCTGTTGAGAAGCTCCATCAATCATAGACACAAGTAAACAACTAACAATATTACTTTTTCCCATTATTCCATGCAATACGCTTAGTTATTCCTTCTGTAAAAATCCTTTACTTTCCAGTTGAACAAACATGAAAATTTGCAGTAAAATAGGTTTGCTCAAAACATGACACTAGCTAATGCAGCCAATGAATGTTTGAATTCTTCTCAAATATATAATGCTGATACTATACTCATTTTTTTATAAACGAAAAGGCCAGTGGCACATGGTCCAAAACTCGGTGGATAATGGGTCCATCCCTCTGCTCTTCACTTAAATACCGAGCTTTTGTCTGATATTAATTTCTTGAATCTTTTATATGAAATGTTTCTCCTGCTTTGCACATAATGTGACACAATTTGACTGGAACAAATATCACAAACTTACTTTCACTTCAACATTGTATTGGTAGGAGTAAAGAAAAGTACTATTCTTTCTAAAGCTAGTCCGATAGTAGGACATCGCACCGTAGTTTCAAATTTGAATGTCAATCTTGTTAAAGTTTTACAAATTGTAGATATTCTATAAGTGCAATAAAATTTTAAGGTTTTTCCAATTACATGATTCTTGCATAAATTGGATGGAAGGGCTTCAAATCCAATATCATGAATTTCTGCATACAGTGATTGTATTTAAAGTTTAAACATACACCAATTGATGATAACATCCATCCAGGTTATATCAGTGCATACCAGTGTTCAGTAAGTGCAATGTGTATAATCAGATGAGCCAGAAAACATTTACCACTTTCTTCTCTTTGAGGAAGTTGAAAGCATCCAAAATATCATGCTTTGGGTAATGATTGTACGTTGCAACAATGGAAGCTGGCACCAGTCGGAATCTTGAGAAGGCCAGGACTGCCATCTTTAATAGCTCTGCAGCATTTGCAACTGCAACTGATTCAAATGCTTGCCTACTTACACTGTTGCTTTCACTTAAAGGATCACCACACCTCTTAGGAACCCAGTGAGAGCTTTTCTCCTGATAAGAAATTTGTGTCATCTGGTCAAATTCTCGGCCTTTTGTCCATGAAGGGGGGGGGGGGGGGGGNCAGGGAATAAAAAGAGAGTATTAACCGCGGGAAGCTAGTTTTCCAGATTGAAATTAGATATCATAATTCATATGCAAAAACTTGACCAACACTTCGACATGCAGATGAACAGATCAAATAGAAAAAGGGTCCTGCACCCCAGATCTCTACTTATGCATCTGGAGTTCCTTCTTTTTTTCATTTCCTCAGAAATTGGTGAACTTCTTTCTGTTTTTACTGGTGAGGGACAACCAAGGTGATAGAGGACATTATGGCTCGGATATCAAACTTACTGAGTCAAACATCAAGCCTCTGATAAAAGACACTTGGCAGAGAACAAACGGAAGATGATACACTTGAACAGGCATATAATGTCATGCACATCTATGACGTGCTGGAACATCAGGACTTACAGGTCTTTCAGCATTTAAACTGAGATCTGAATTATCATTGGCAGATTGAACTCCATTGCTACCATCCAACTTAGCAATCTTTTTGCATTCTAGCACCTTATCTAGGGCAACCTTTACGTTGTCGTTGTCAAAATCATCCCACCGCTCGTGTGCAACAGCCTTTCTAGAATGTTCACGGCCGTCAGAAACACCTTGATCCAAATCTTCTTCTTCTGAGGCATGATGCCAAACCATCTCTTCACAATCACCGCAATCTAAAGACCTGTTCTGGAGGTGCCGTGCATAACGCTCCGAGACTGCATTACAGAGATTCATTAAAGCACTTCTGAATTGCATACAGCAGTTCAAAGCAGTCATTCTCCTTTTGCAGGCATCAGGTGACGCTGGAAGGTTTTTGACTGAGGCCCATTTAAAACGAGAATATGGCCCAACGGCAGCTTTGTGTCTTACAAATTCAATCACCAATTGCCTGGACAGATTCATTATATATTAAGATCTAGAATAAACTGATTTATCAAGATATTATAGATTTGCTGAGTAAGCAGCAGCAAATCACCCGCTGCATGACGATCAGTACCAGACCGTGCAAATAGGATATTCCACAGAAATTTACTTCAGAACAAACCAAATATACAACAAGCTAAAAAGTGTTACAAAATACCTCTAAAAAATTTTTATCTACAATTGAGAACATACAATGAACATGGGAATACCTGTCTGCATCTTCGCTCCAGGAGAAACTTGATCTGCATGTTGGCTTCAGACTTGAGATATCACTTCTCTTCATGAAAGAGTGATTGGCCTCAGTTTTTTCACATTGCTCTAGCCCTTTGGTAACCTCCCTATGATCACCGACGCAATTTATTTGAGAATTACATCCAACATCCCCTGGAGAAACCAGGAAAGCATTTTGTTCATCAGGGAATTGGTCAACAGTATCGAATGTGCTCTTGTCACTTGGTCGTACGTCTGAAGTGCGTAACTTTTCATGTCTTGCAGGATCTCCACCTGATGACCTCTTTCTTTTCTGTAAAGAATTATTCCATCCTTCTATGGGCTGAACCTCCATCCATTTGGCAGTTACAACTCCTTGGAATCTACAGAGACGCATTTGCTTCCTATTGTGAAAACAATGGAACACCTGTATATTGCGTCTTCTAAATCATTCATGATAGAAATGTGTCAAATATGTTAATGCAGGAGAAAATGAAATAATGCTTAAAACTTTGTTTCTATTATTTATTTAATTGATAACAGAGAAATTCCCGAGGGCCAATTTGCTCACAGTTCAAAACTCGGTAGAAAATGGGCTCACTCCTCTTATTTCAACTCAGTTTTCTATATCCTCTCTCTATAAATTACTTCTTCTTGTACATGCATAATCCATTAAGAACAATTTCACATATTGCATACAATTTCAAGAAAGGAAGGACCATGCTTTAGTTCAATAAAATTAATATTTTAAGGGTGCAAGTTAACTGCTAGCAGTAGCACAATTGGCAGATTAGCTAGATGATCTTTAAGTTCGTTGAACAATACCATTAAGAGATTTTAAGGCAGGGAAGAGCAAACTTCAAAAAATTGCAACGTCTTGCAAACCCCAAAAGCATAACTTGTGTGTAAAATTTTCATAATAACACTAAAAGACAATCTTTGTTTAATGATTTTGAGACACCTTCTTTGCCATTTTCTGGAAACTAAAACATATTTGGTCCGGCCACAAGCGAAGATCTTATAAACACATTAAGCTTAGAAAAGAAAAGAGAAAAAAGAAAGAAAGAAATATGGATGTAAAGTGTCTTCATGCTTGAGGGAGAGGGCTATTGAGAAGATATAAACTAAGCCCTATTGCTGCTTATGAGCCCTATATAGTATTTACAACATGAACATCCAAAGGATCAGCATTGACATCATGTCCATAGAGCAACATCTTCACCTAACAGCATAGAAGGACAAAATTGCAATTTGTGTTACACTATCAAACCTCTTGAATTGCAGATTCTGGGGAAGCAATTGAAGCAGCTTCTGGATTAGCACCAGCCAATAAGTACTCCAGAGTGTTCCAGTACTCATCAACAGCGTTCCTATTTGAAAGAACAAAATCATGTCTAACTTGATGGCAAGAATCTGGACCATGAAAATCAGATGATCGTGCAGTTGAAGAGAAAGGCTCCTCAAAGTAAGGTTTAAGCTCTAGCGCATGAGTAAGAGTGATCTGTATCACATGAGTGGCGTCTACCGTATGTTCACCACAAACAAGGCGGATTAACTGCCAACAAAGATGAAACTACTTCATACTTGCCAAAACAAGAAAGAAAGAAAAAAAGAGTGATCACTTGATCATAAGTCAACTCCATAAACCATGTTGATATAGCTATTCATGGTATCAAAATCCTCAATTTCTACAAATTGCAAAACAAGCTCTTTGACTTATTTTTTATGCAAATTTTCCTGAAAAGAAGCTGGGTGTTTCTTAATATTTTCTTAAAACAATTTGGAATCCTTCTCCAAGGAAATAAAGTATCATGTTTAGTAGGTAGAAGGAAGACAATGGACCAAATCTTGAATTTTAATCATTTTCCATTAAATCAGAGTATCAGACTACGTACACACAAGTTCTTAAAAAAGATTGGACCACAAGAAATTTATCAACCACCCATATATAATGTCTTATGCTAGTTGATCATATAAATTGGAAACCATTACGAAGTAAAACAATGATCTCTGGCTCCTTTAGTCCTCTTATACTCCATCTTAGTCAATTCATCCCTCAAAAGTAGTTTGTATCTTCCAAGCATGGAAAAGTTTCCATCTAACCAAACTCTTTCTTTCATTTTTTGCTACCTAGAAAGGGGGAGACAACAAATTTGTGGACCCTTTTGACACTGCTAAATCCAATTCATTCTATAAGGGCATAGTTTTCTTACTTGTATACACTAAGATTTGAATAGAAAACATGCTCATCAACATAGGATCTTCCATCCCCTACAGAATGAGCCATATCAAAGTTGATACTTCTGAGCAGAATACAAGAGGAAGACGGTTAAAGTGTCATCAGTACGATTTTTCGTTTAGTATCATCACATCAAATTAAAACCTCTGACCTGTGACTTTGAGGCATTCTTGTTTCATTTTTTCCCAGAACTGAAGAATGCATCTGTCATGTCAACATGTCAATTCTCATAAGGTTTGGAAGTTTTTAAGCTCCAAAATCAGAGCATCTTGTTGGAGTATGGTTTCTTAGATGCACATATTTATAAGGAATCACACAAGAGAGATGACCTTAAAGGGCAGCCCGGTGCACAAAGTATCCCGCATTCACAAGAGAGATGACCTTATTTCTTTAAATTTACTATCATTGAAGATGCTACAGATCACTCTCTATACTCAACTGCACCGGGTTTATGAAAATATCTGGGCTCTTAGCAAGGGTAAACCTGGGAATGTTTTATCTGAATGAGCGCATCTTTAGTTTTTAGTAACAACACTGAGAGAGCTAACATTTTATAGGAAGGAGTAGTTTTCTTCTTTTGACACTTCTGAAAGCGTCTTTCTGAACAATTTGTTAGAATATGCAGGAAGATCAGCAACTTATTCGTGCTCAACTTTTTTCTAGATCTATTATAGTTCTAATATACTTTTGCCTTGAGGAAAATCAGTAAAATTTTGATCTTCTCATATTGAAAACTAACTTGTTACAGCTTAACTTTAGGTCTTCACTTTTATCATCAAATAGCAATATCTAGCACGCTTATCACAAAATGCATCGAATGAATAAGCTGAAGTATAACTCACAGCAAACAAAATGCACATGTAGATGTAAGATATGCACGTCTGGCAATCGTATCCCCAAATGACAGGAAGATTAATCAGATTGATGGGAGGTAATTGACTATGCCAACACTTGGGGAAGCGCTAGATATGTTAAAGTAAGGGTTAGAACTTAAATATGAAGTATTCTCAAAAATGATTTTCAATTATACCTTAAAACGTTGTAATATGACAATCAGCAGTGATAGCTCCTGGATTGACTGGGTATCACTCAGACGCACGTAGTCCTTCATGGGAATATTAGAAAGGTGTAAATAATCCCCACATTTCTCAAACATATTGTCATGCATTGGAGCAGAACCTGAAACTTGTAAGAACAGCTCAAGCTGCATGGCCTCGATGGCTGCACCTATATCAATCAATTTGCAACTGTTATCATCATTTTTCAAACCACAACCGTATTTACCAGATGAGGAAGTATCTTCACTATCATGGGCATTATTGACATACTCCCATAGATAGATGTGAAGACGCTTTGCCTGAGCCAATTTTGGCATCACAGACCTAATCCAATGACTTTTTTTGGCTAGTGCATCTTGGACATCCATTTCTACTCTTTGTTGTCCTATGCCCATATCATACACTATTGGAAGTGCATTCCCCTTCTCAAACTGAGAAAAGCTTTCTCTACGCACTTTCCTTTCAAAGGACCTAATTCTATCATAAATTTTAACCAACATTGCAGGAGATAACTCATAAATGGATGGATGCAGGACCACGACCTTTTTACGGTTCTCGCAAAAGTTTGTGACAGCAGGGAAGAAGACATCAAGGCATTTACAGTGCCCTTTATGTTGAAGCTTATTCAAACTGCGTTCTAAGGTCTTTTTGTCCATTGATGTGTGCCTGTCCTTCTCAAGATTCTCAAGTCGTCTTTGTAACTCAGGTTTTATAAGGAACTTCTCCTCCTGCTCAAAGAAGAATAGCTTGAGTTGGTTCATCTAAACTGAAATGTATAGACTTATATTCAATGCAGAAGCAAAAAAGTAGTTGAGATGCCAAATACCTCTAACATTTTAAGTATCCACTGCTCTCTCTGTTCCCTTGCCCAGTCTTCTCGCAATTTATGACTGGGATATGCTTTGTACGCTTGGCATCTAGGGGATATTGTTTCAGTTACTGAAGATTTTACAGGTACAAAGTCCCGTACAGAAGAATCCATTATCTGCATTTTTGTGTCATTAACTGTGTTGCTCACATCTATGGGAGAATTCTGTCCGTTGCTCATTCTATTGTTGCCCCAATCCTGGACCTCCACGATAGAGAAAAACAAAAAGGTGAAAAGTGTACAATGCCGAGTTGAGTACAGAATATAAATCTGAGAATGTGCATCAATGGAATAAAGCATTTGGTTCCCACTGCCAGATAATACTTGAGATAACAAACCAACTACCTAGAAATTACAAAACCACTGAACCCTCTCCCACCCCCCCCCAAAGTAGCCACAAACAACATGGTACTGCAAACATGAAATATAGTAGTTTCCCTACTGCAACCAGAATACAATGCCCAAACGGATAGAAATTAAACGGAAACTATTGACTAATTAATCTTATCGCAGACCTAAAATAAATAACTAAAAGTATTCCCTGCTTGAGATAAGGTGGACAAACAATTCAAAAGGAAAGAAATAAAATTGGGTTACACCATGTTTTATGTATATAATGCATTTTAGTGCAATCTCAATGTCAAACGATATATTTTCAATGATTTCATGTTTATGAACTATCTAGTTGCAGATAGTACATGTTTACGAACGTTTTGAAAGCTTTATATGATGACAAATATGGATTTCATGATATTGATACATGAAATGTTTTTGGAGTAACCATGACAACTGAGAGGGTATTCGCACTTACGGGTTCGATGCCTAGAAACGGTATGTGCCGGTATGGGATCATAGTTAGTGCCATTTTTAAATGGTGGTTATGTTGCACCACACGAAAGTAAGTGGAAATGTTTGCCAGCATACCTACGGTGAGAAGGCATATGTCAATCAGGAGGATGATCGGATGTCATAAGTAGTTTCTAGTGAAAGCTCCCTAAAGTTATAAATACTTATGTTCATGGACTACGAGCACCCTTTGATTTCAAAAATAATTTCGAATGACTTAGCATGTGTTTATTATATTGGGATAACATTGATTTGCATGAGAAATATGATTGTGATATTGAAGTGCATGTTTTTTGAATACTTGTCCCACATTTTAAAGGGTGATCAATAAGACTTAGGGGGTATTTTTATACTCACTGCCTTACATGTGTGGTACAGGTTTGGGTATTGCAATGGAGTCCAGTCCATGAATTGAGCACCATTACTTAGAGCTTCAGTGGTGAGCCCCAAATTTGATCAGTGGCGGCTTAGTTCATTTCAATTGTTATTAATTATATGGGGAACCATGTCCCACTTCTTTTTTGAAATAAGATTCTTTAGACGCTCTGTGACTCATTGTGGCTAGATGTATATGTACCTCGTATTGTATTTGGACTATGCCTCTCGAGGTTTAATTCAGATATGTGATATATTCGAGCCTTTCTTTTGGATTTAGTTGATACGACGGGCAGAAGGATTAGCTCAGTGAGCGCCAGGCTCGGGCACCAACCATTGCCCCTTAGTTTGGGTTGGCTAACAACAAAATTAAAGGCAAAAGCCTTCCTACTATGGTTAAGCTGTAGATCCTTCTAGAATAAATCTCACTAACTAGAGACACTCATCTGCCCATATAGATACCATCCACGACTTCCACTTACATATAAAGCTTCAAGTACTACAGACTTGATTGATAAACACCCTGCTACTGCTTCCTTGGCGTGGAATTGTTCTATAAGCCCTCTACTACATTTCAGGGCACTAAGGGGTAGCATCCAATCTATGCACTACACACCCTTCACCTATACATCTTATTTGATAGCCTATACTAATTCACCTATCATTATCAACCATTTTGCTCCTTACACCTAGAAACTATGTGCTCCCTACTAGTAGAAGATATGATCTTGAAAATAGTTTCACTCTTTATCTTTTGTTAATTGGATTTGATCTTTATCAGTTATCACCTTATGGAACGAAGAATAAGGCACAAAAATACTCTAAACAAAAATAGTTTTCAACACCAACTTGATCCAACCAAAGTGTCTCCTCTTTGATGCAATTTATAACTCTATAAGGCATGAACTAGGGAATTCCATGAACACTCTGCTTACAGATGTCTTTAACATGTAAAAACTACACCAGAGAAATCAATATTATACCAATGCACAATCAAACAAAGAGTGAAGTTTATACAAATGCATAACTTGCCTCAAAGTAATTGTAAGAAATAATTTGTTCTTGACTCTCTTATATTTGTAAGTGAAAGACTGATAACCGCGGAAAAGTTGGAAATGACCTTATTAATTGAGATAAAATGCAGAGGCAGAAATCATGCAGTGGCAAACGTAACTGTGAGATAGTGTACATCATGCAAGAATTTGTAGTTTAGTTCAACACTCTTTTGAAACGTACTGGGTGGAAAGGACAACTAGTATTCTCGTACTATTTCATACTTTAAAGGATATTAAGTTGGAGTCCTATTTAATCAGACTTTAACTAAGGAGAAGAGAAGTGCTGCAATTTTCATGTTTTCAGACTCTCTGTTAGTCTTTTTTAAATCCTTCCTCCACTTCTCTTAAATAAGGAGGGCATAAAACAGCTGGATGGCATATAAAGCACAGCAAAAACTCATAACAAACTCAAAAACTCTAAGACAAGGTGATCCTTTATCTCCCTTTCTATTCATTATAGCCATGGAAGGATTGAACAACAGAATCAAAACGGCTAAAGTCAGTGGGTGGGTTAAAGGTTTTGAGGTAAGCAGGAGTGGGGCTAACAATCTAGAGATCACACATCTCCAATATGTTGATGATACTCTAGTCTTCTGTGATGCTGAAAAGACCAACTTAGATTCTTAAGGATCATTTTGGTCTTATTCGAGGGAGTCTCAGGATTACACATTAACTGGAGAAAGAGCAATATTTTTCCCATTAATGAAGTTAACAACATGGAGGAACTGACACAGATATTGGGAGGAGAAGTTGGGTCCCTACCAACTGTTTACCTTGGGATGCCTCTTGGTGCAAGATCCAAATCAAAAGAAATCTGGAATTCAGTCATAGAAAAGTGTGAGAAGAAGTTGTCAAGATGGAAATCGCAGTACCTATCATTGGGGGGTAGGCTAGTTCTAATCAACTCAGTATTAGACTCTCTACCTACTTACATGATGTCTTTGTTCCCAATTCCATCNAAAGACACTCACAATGGATAAAAAACAAGGTGGTTTGGGGATAAGGAATTTGAAGAATCAAAGCAAGGCTCTTAGAATTAAATGGTTATGGAAGTACTCTCAAGAACCCCAATCTTTATGGGGCAAAGTGATCAAAGCAAAGTATGGTGAGGAAAATAACTGGGTGTCAAAAAAAGTCAGAACATCATATGGAGTAAGTATGTGGAAATCCATCAGAGAACTTTGGCCTATAATGAAGAATCACTCCTCCATAAGAGTGAACAACGGAAGGAACACATCATTTTGAAATGATAACTGGTTAGGAATTGGAAGCTTAAAGGAAAGATACCCAGATATGTTTGGTTTAGCACAAAACCAGCATAAGACAGTAGCTGATATGAGGAGTCATCAAGGATGAGAAATTGCTCTAAGAAGACAGTTGAATGACTGGGAGATAACAAGATTAGTTGACCTTTACAAAGAGCTGGAAGCATTTACAGGATTATAGGAAGGTTTGGATTCACTATGGTAGAAGAGGCACAACAGAGGAGTTTACCGGGTGAAGGATGCATATAAGATTTTGAATCATAATAACCAACAGGTAGACACATGGTTTTGGAAACATATATGGAAAACAAAGATTCCATACAAGGTAGCTTGCTTCACTGTGTTCAAGATGTTTTCTGTGTGGGGATAATGCAGAAACTGTCACCCATTTGTTTCTACATTGCAAGATTACAGACCAACTATGGAAAATCTTTATTAGTCTTAGGGGTATTTCATGGTCAATGCCATACATGCTTAAAGATGTCCTTTATAGCTGGGAAGAAGCTGGAGCTGAAGCAACTAGTAGAGATAGATGGAGGACCGTACCGGCTTGTATCTGGTGGACAGTTTGGAGGGAAAGGAACGCTAGATGTTTTGAAGATAGAAGCAATCCAGTGCAGAAGATCAAACTCAATTGTATTCTTCTTTTTTGTTTTTGGTGCAAACAGATTTACACAGAAGATACATTGACAATCATAGACATACTAGGATCTTGCTAGATCTCAAATTAGAACATCTTCCAATCCTCTCTATGTAAATTTGGTTTTCAGTGCAACCTATGTACTGATATTTATAATATATACAATAGTTACCAATTCAAAAAAAAAAAAAAAAAAAACAACTCATAACTCACTGTTACTTCTTAAGACCATATCTGAACTGTTACACAAAAAATTCCATGAAAAGTGGTAGATGGTAATATCAACAGAAGGAACTTTACATACTTCAAAAGTCTGATGCTCGACGGGAAGCTCCACAAGCTGTTGGCCAATCTGACCTCTCTTTTCTATTTTAACCGGAGGTTGTTTTCGGCCAAGGTCATCAGATCGACGTATGCGAGTATTAAAGTGCATTGGTGAAAATTCCTTTAAAAGACGCAAAGACTTGCCCTTCTGTGAACAGTGAATAAAATTACATTAATAAACTCCGCATGTAGATCATCATTTTTAAGATTACCAAATGAAAACAGTACCGACTGAAGATGAAAGAGAATATTTTTGGTCTTCTGAGTATAGGATAAGTGCTATTTTAATCACCTTGCCGACATCAATAATGTAAAATCCCCGAAGGCCCGAACTACTAACTTGATTGCACTTTAGCCCGTAACCATAGTTTATTTTCACAAAATGGGAGGGTTGGGTCAATTTTGAGTGGGTTAAAACGGGTAAGTCATGATTCAACTCGCCCAACGTTTACTTGAATCATGATGGATTGGTAAAAATAAATTAATTAACGGATCATAACCCAACCCATCCAACTTGATCCAGATTAACAAAAACTATGTAAATACAGTAAGCACTTTGATGGAGATTCAAAAAGTTAAAAAGAACTACCAGCGAATTTTGGTTTAGATGACAAACCACAGATTTTCCTGAATCTCACGTGCTTTAACAAACAAACAACATCACAACAAAAGTGTTTAAAATCTTTGAAATTCCATTGATGTAACATGAGAAAAAATCAAGGTTTTACAACTGAAACAGTTTAAGGTTGATTGAACTGTTTAGTGGATTTCAGCAGCAGATTTATGCGTTCCATATTAGTATATTGTAACTCTGAAATAAATGAGAGTAAGCAGCAAAGACTTCTGTTAATCTTGCTTGATATCCTTTAACACCATTATTCAAATCAGCTTCATATATAACAGCATTTGGGATATGGATAGATCGTATCTTCTAATATTTCTTTCTATTCTAGTCCATTTCCCATGTTTCATGCCTATTTCATTTAGACAGCTATTCTGAATCAAATGCTATAAACTGCAATGTGAGGACAATCAATGTTTGTAAAGCAAAACGTTGGAAGTGAACTACAATTTAGGTCAATATGACTCTTTCACTTACTTCAGTTACCTCCACGACCTGAGCTTGTGTCAACCTACGTAAGATCTGTCAGGAAACTGTATCAGACAAACAGTACAACTTATATAGTGCTTCTTTTGGAATTCAATTTACTACCTCCAAGATAAAAAACACTTACATTTTTTCTCCATTCTTTATGTCCAAAAGCATCTTGATAACCTAGGTCCTTTTTAATATTTGAGATAGTAAGAACCTGGAAAGGTGAAACAGGTTATAAGAAGGTTTGTATCATGTTGTTCACAAAATTGAGATACCCAAAATATTTCAAGAGTATGACAGACCTTCCCCTTAGCCTTTTCAAGTTTATTACAAATATCCCTCAGTATGGGCAGATAATCTTTTATATGCACATCCTCTCGATTAGACTTCACATCACAACTACCAGAATTTTCATAAGATAAATCATCAGCCATCAGAACTCCACCTCTTATTTCAAGCCTTTGTTGACTGTGCAAGTGCTTCCTGTAGCGGCTTAAATAGAGCATGTTGGTTGTAGTATGCTTACTTATAAGTTTCCCGTTATTGGATGCTTCATTTGTCCAAATAATTGCTTCATGCCTCACAATCAGTCCTAGAACCTCAAGCTCCTTAAATATGTGGAAGAAGTTATTGGCCTTGATGCCAAATTCCTTAGTAAGCTCACACTGGGTAATTCCATTTGCTCTGTCAATGCACCATGAACCATGGTTAGCACATTATGAGAGGAATCAGTGTCTTGATACTTGCTTTAAAGAGACAAAGAAGTCTCTTCAACCTATATATGCCAAGTAGGAGCGCAAACACGTGGGTTTTTGGGGGTCAAAGAAAACAAATTAAAAAGAATAAAAGCTTTTGAACGGTTGCTTCTCTTCTACTCACAATTAGCATGACGGCGTAGTAAGTCCAAGGTTCAAATCCTGATAGAGGCAAAAAAGCTAGGTACTCTCTTCTTATTTTTTAACCTTTGAAAAAGTAGGTTACCTGGTGGAAGAATGCAATAGAATAGCTGAGGTGAGGCACAAATTGGCCTGAATATATACCATTTTAGAAATAGGAGGTGTGACATTACAGATAATTAAATTCCATAACTTCAATGAAAGCAGAGCAAAAATTTCAATCAGGTGTGGATAAATATATAATAATAGTTACAAATGTATATATATCAAAAAGACCAACAGTCTGTTTGGCCAATCTTCTAAAATATGCTTATTTTGATAAGTACTTTTTCCAAAGTGCTTTTCAAAAAGGTACTTTTGGTGAGAATCAATTTGTGTTTGGCTAATTAATTCGAAAAGTACTTTTGAGCAGTAATTAGTGTTTGGCCGAACTTTTGAAAACTGTTTCTAAGTGTATTTTTCTCAAAAGTGTTTCTCCGATAAGTGCTTTTGGAGAGAAGCTACATTTTTCTGTTTCTCAAAAACTTCTTTTGCTTCTCCTAAAAAGCATTTTTTTTCTTCCAAAAGCTTGGTCAAACACCTCAATATTTTGACAAAAGTACTTTTGGCCAAAAAAAGTACTCCTAGCCCAAAAAAAAGTTTGGCCAAACAGGCTACAAATTTCACTCAAAACTCATTAACTCTAAATTCTGGCCGATTTGCCTCAATTAGAGGAAGAGATGGAGGAGATGAACCTTGCAATGGCGATCCGTTGGAGGACTCTTTTACGGAGATGAAGAGCTTCTAACTCTTGTTTACATAGCTTAGACGTGAAAACCTCAACCTCATGAATCCTAGTAAAATTATCAACCATATGCTCCGGTACGACGATCTTCAATTCCATTCTCTCGCATTCTTCCACACTATATGACTTAACCAAATCATTATCATCACAAGTGTACCTACTCCCTTCTCGCGATTTGAATTCGAGACCCGGAATGTTAATAAGGTTAGACAAAATTGCCTTTTTTACATTATTACAGAGTACAAGGCCGTTTTTTGAAAGGATGGGATTTAGTTTGGGCCAGAGATTGCTGATAAGGACTGAACTATTGCCTTTGCAACCTTGTATGCAGAGTTCTTCCACTGCTTTGTTCACTATTGCATCCATATATTTGTGAAAAACAAGTTTAAATAGAATTATTTCGGAACTCACCCTAAAAAAAGCAGTAGCCTAGTGAACTAAGCTCCCACTACGAGCTAGGTCCGAAGAAGTGCCGGACTACAAGGGCTCTATCGTACCCCTATTTTTGCCTTGTTTCCACGACTCAAACCCGTGTCTCAATAAAAGTGGGCACGGGTGTCGTCTGCGACGCACCCACCCTACCTCTACCGGTATCCACGGCCACCCCCTTTCCAAGCTCCACTCTCCTTTTCTTTCTCAGTGACGACTCGTCCCCATTAGAGGATTCATCCAAAAGGTGAGGGGTTGGTACAGAAGAGGCCTCTTCCCTCACGACCAAATCCCGAGAGGAACCTTCTATCTGAAGCAGCTGAGTACAACCCCCTCGAGCAGATTAGGCCAAGGCAAATTGCATTCCCACAGCAGCGACGGCCTGTCGGAATGCAGGGACTGGGGCCCTCCGCCTGGAAACTCCTCGACCTGTCATCACGAAGAGTCGTATCAATAGTTAACGGTGTTTAACCAACGAAGTGATGTGGGGGAAGATACTTACCAGATGAAACTTTCGGGCCATAACGTTTCACAAGGCGGGCCAATCTCGAGTCTCCGCTGCATGGGGCAACAAACGAGTTACCCAATCCCTTATGCCAGCAATAGGGCGGGGTGGACGCCCCATAGCTGTAAACAAGAAACAAACAAACTCTATAAGGAATGAAGAGGAGAAGAAAGAACAAAACAAGTGGCAACACTTACGATTCTCGTTCCATCGCTCTGGGAACCTAGCGGGATCGGAGACAACATGTTCGGTTCTGACAAAGAAGTACTTATGCCAGAACTCGTGACTTGCTCGGTTGTCAGTCCCCACTACCAGCCCCTTTGTTCCACGATGCCTCAAATGGACCATAGTGCCTCTATGAAAGCTGGGCGAGAATAGGTGTAAGAGGTGATGGACAGTAACTTCACACTCCGCCAACTCCGCATACTTTGTCAACAAGAGAAGTACCTTAAGCGTGTATGGTGAGAGTTGCACCAGGCAAACCTGATAAAATCTACAGAATTCCTCCGCCAACGGAGGGAGGGGGAAAGAATAACCGATCACGAAAGGGTACTCATAAAAAGCGCAGTACCCAGGTCTGTGGACTTCCACGAAGTCCCTTCCCGCCAGAATCATATCGACATTGGCGGGGATACTATACTTTGTACGGAGAGCATCTATATGAGCTTGGTCCGTTTCGGAGAACACTGGGGTAGGAGTAGCGGGAGGATCTTTGAGGAAGTCACTCAGAGATGTGGGGTGTCTCGGCAGCAATTCCTCCACGGTGGGAAAGCTGCCCCCCTTTTCCACCACTATGTCCTCACCGCCGGAGGGGAACGCCACGGACAGCAGGTCAGCCTCAGAAACCCCTTCGTGAGATCGATGTGTTCTAGGCATCGCTTTGACAGGAAAGATGTTAGAGCAGCAGAGAAAGTTGTAGATGAATAATGAAAGAAGAAGAAACAGAAAATCGTAAAAATGAATGTAGGAAAGATGAGGAAGGATAACCGGAAGTGAAATGGCCAAGAGTTTTTGAAAAAACAAACCCTCCACCTATTTATAGGATTGGGTGGCGCCAGAATCGAAGCAAAAGGCTGCAGCGGAGCACCGAAATCGAAGCGACAAGCCATCAACCCCTGTATCGAAAACACGCATAATGATGACGCACGTGGAGATGACGTCATTTCCACGTAAAATACACTACCTAGTGTCTTGCTGAGCACGCTGACCGCCCCTTATTGGCCAAGCCGTAACGCCTCGAAGGATCAAATTTCTCCATAAGGACGTGTGGTGTCCGCTTACCGAGGACACACCAAGTTGCAACTTCGACAAGTGGAGGGACTAACTGTATGGCTCCAAATTTAGACAACCACGACCGTTGATGATTACGACAAACGACGAGATCCTCGTAGCTCGACATCCTACAGAGGACGACCTACAGGCGAACAAGAGGCCGCACGACTTTTGCAGCAGTGTAGGTCCATTAGGGGACATTAGGAATCTTCTTTCGAATATTCCCTATGATTTGTCTTTTAGGGCTTAGAGGGGATTTGTCCCCTATATAAAGAGCGTAAAACAACCTTGTAAGCCGCTGGGCACTTTCCTCGCTTATGACACATGACACTTGCTATAACACTTGCTTACATAAACGATTGATGTCATTATTGTTTCAGGGTTCATCTTTTGTTCTAGAGATTATTATACTTAGCTAAGATTTACCCCTTCATTTTTTTTGATTGATTTATTCAAAAAGGTTCCAATATCTTTTGAGTCAAACAGTCTCTTCAACCTATATATGCCAAGTAGGAGCGCAAACACGTGGGTTTTTGGGGGTCAAAGAAAACAAATTAAAAAGAATAAAAACTTTTGAACGTTTGCTTCTCTTCTGCTCACAATTAGCATGACGGCGTAATAAGTCCAAGGTACAAATCCTGATAGAGGCAAAAAAGCTAGGTACTCTCTTCTTATTTTTTTAACCTTTGAAAAATTAGGTTACCTGGTGAAAGAATGCAAATAGCTGAGGTGAGGCATAAATTGGCCTGAATATCACCATTTTAGAAATAGGAGGTGTCATTAACATTACAGATAATTAAATTTCGTAACTTCAATGAAAACACAGCAAAAATTTCAATCAGGATGTAGATAAATTGGCAATGAGAGAAAAACACTTCTTTCAGAATTAGAGTGTAATTTCTATGGAGCAGTAACATATATAATAATAGTTACAAATGGATATATATCAAAAAGACCAAATTTCACTCAACTCATTAACTCTAAATTCTGGCCGATTTGCCTCAAATTTTGGAGGAAGAGATGGAGGAGATGAACCAACCTTGCAATTGCGATGCGTTGGAGGACTCTTTTACGGAGATGAAGAGCTTCTAACTCTTGTTTACATAGCTTAGACTTGGAAACCTCAACCTCATGAATCCTAGTAAAATTATCAACCATATGCTCCGGTATGACGATCTTCAATTCCATTCTCTCGCATTCTTCCACACTATATGACTTAACCAAATCATTATCATCACAAGTGTACCTACTGCCTTCTCGCGATTCGAATTCGAGACTCGGAATGTTAATAAGGTTAGACAAAATTGCTTTTTTTACATTATTACAGAGTACAAGGCCGTTTTTTGAAAGGATGGGATTTAGTTTGGGCCAGAGATCGCTGATAAGGACTGAACTACTGCCTTTGCAACCTTGTATGCAGAGTTCTTCCACTGCTTTGTTCACTATTGTGTCCATATAGTTGTGAAAAACAAGTTTATATAGAATTATTTTGGAACTCACCCTATTAGAAAAAAACAGCTCAATGCACTAAGCTCCCGCTACGAGCTAGGTTTGGAGAAGTGCCGGACTACAAGGTCTATCGTACCGTATTTTTGCCTGTTTTGACAACTCGAAACCGTGTCTCAATATAAAAATAAAACTATGACGTCCAAATTCTAGATCTGTAACAACATCATATCCGTGTGAAGATCATATGTTAGAAAGAGTATAATTTTGAGTTCTCTGAAGTTTGTGGTGACCGACGGCAAGAGAAGAGGCAATCGTGAAACCCTAAATTAAATTACGAGTTTGGATTCCTATGGAGCCGAGAATGGGAAAAAAAACAGAGAGCAAAGAGTTGTGGACTGAGGAGGAGGAAGAGAGGAAGGGAATGAATTTGGTAAGAATCAAAACGGGTATTTATACGTTTCTATAAAAGGAAATCTGCTAACATAATATAGTACAGTAATATATTACTCCACTAAGATTATTTTAGGCGAAATTTTTGGGGGAAAGGGAATCCTATTTTTATTTTTTATTTTTTATTTTTTGGTAAGTAAAGTATATTATTTACCCTGAGAAATATGACTATTGTCACTCGCCTCTATTCAGGCATGCGGGAATCCTATTTTATACTTGCAATATAGGTTGTAATTTACCGATTATTTGCAAATGTCCAATATGTTAATTGATACAAATTTTTAAACATAATATTCTAAAAATAAATGTGATTTCGACAAAATTGTATAGGCCAAAATCTGATCAAAAGAATTCTACTTAAGAAAGAACGACCAAGAATCAACCAAGCCGAAGTCACGTATAGGAAGCAATATACCAGCAAGTGATGTAGCTACGGTCGAGGTCGAGTACTCAATTTGGCCCGAACGGCTAGTTCAATACTTAGATATTTTAGAGGAATATTTTACAAGATATTCTAAAAATTTAGGTACTCCGGTTAAGGACCGCTAGGTAAGGAACGTATTTTGTATAAATATCATGGGAGAGAGTAACAAAGGGGGGCTGATAGGAACACACACACACATGTACATCTCTCTGAAGGGAAGATATTCCCTGATCTCAGGCTCTTCACCGGAAAAGGAGATAAGAACATAGGATCTCGATATTTATTTGTAATTCGACTTTATCAAATATACGGAAGCTAGTCTTGTTCTAGAATGGTGATTATTTTCATTTATGTAATCTTCATCATCATTTGATATTATTAGAACAATCATCTATTTCTTCCATTATGAAATTCAATCGCAATTGTAATCAAATTTATGTTCAGTTGTGTTTGTTTATTCCTATTGTCTATTTTAGATCTAGAATAAATTATTTCTGGCTAGGATTTGCCCTCTGTCTATTTATTACATTGGTTCAACTAAAAGGACCTAAAACTTTTTGGTCGAACAATTTGACGTCGTCTGTGGGGATTTTCTAGCCAAAGTTTTAGTTTCCTCTAGATCTAAATTCGGTTCTAGCTCTACTTCCCATTCGTTGTAACTTCATCCTTTCGCATGTGTACTTGTGGTACGGCTTATGTTTCCGTGTCTTCACACCCTCGAGACCGGATCGAATTGGTACTTGAACTCGAATATCCACAACGAGCGAAGTAAGTCATCAATCCCCAAGGTGCCCAGATTCAACTAACGTCGAAGCTAAGTGCGAGGCTGAGATTGGATCTGAAGCTAGCACTCTCAGTTAATTGCCAACCACATCGAAGGGACTTTCCAGACCCAAGTAGCGGAGACGGCAAAACACCAAGCTAAAGACCCACAGGATGTCATCCAAGTTCGGTGAATATTAGCTCAGCCAGTGATAGCAGCTACGAAATACAGCCAAAGAAGGGAACACGGTCGCTCCCTTCCACCAGTCAACCAATATGTCGAGGTAACAAACGATTTCGTTTGGCTTTAACTTACAATTTATTTTCAGAATGGGACAAGAACAGGGGCATACTTACTGACACGCGAACAGGGAACAAACGCCATCAAAATAGCACGCCAAGAAAATGTTGCGCGTCCTATCATCCTGCAAGCAACGGTCGAGCGAAACCCCCTCCCCCTCCATCAAGTTGGTACTCAACGCCATAAAGGAAAAGCCTATATAGACTGGGACTGGATCTCCATACCGGAAAACATACGAATCTCTCTAACATGCAGACAAAGCACAAGTGCGTGAAACTCACTCGCGCACTCGCCAAAGTCACTATGCGATGACACAACTAGCCAAAATTCAATCTCATACATATATTGAGACACCCCAAAGTTTGAGAGAGACATCCATCGCCCGGCCTACCAACTACCTCTCTAGGCCAAGAGATGAACTAGATGGACTGGGACTCCTCGAATGTATGTCTATACCAAACAGAAATATGTAATATTCTCCAATGAATAAATGAAGCAGTATATGAAATTCTTAAATAACTCCACCAAATTTACATATCACACCAACGCAAAGGAAATGTACATTCGACCTCGTTCGAATCAATCAACATTCGACCTCGCTCGAATTAACTTACATTCGACCTCGTTCGGATTAATCAACATTCGACCTCGCTCGAATTAACTTACATTCGACCTCGTTCAAATTGTTCTACATTCGACCCCGCTCGAATTAACTTACATTCAACCTCATTCGAATTGTTCTACATTTGATCCCGCTCGAATTAACTTACGGTCGACCTCGTTCGAATCATTCTACATTCGACCTCGCTTGAATTAACTACATTCGACCTCGTTCGAATCGTTCTACATTTGATCCCGCTCGGATTAAATTACGGTCGACCTCGTTCGAATTGTTCTACATTCGACCTCGCTCGAATTAACTTACATTCGACCTCGTTCGTCTCAATCTAAATTTGACCTCGTTCGAATCAATCTAAATTCTACCTCGCTCGAATTAACTTACATTCGACCTCGTTCGTCTCAATCTAAATTTGACCTCGTTCGAATCAATCTAAATTCTACCTCGCTCGAATTAACAAGTATAAATTCGACCTTGCTCAAATTAACAAAGCCTAAATTCTACCTCACTTAAATTAGCGAGACAAATTCGACCTCGCTCGAATTAGTAAGTCAAATTCGACCTCACTCGAATTAGCAGGTCAATATTTGACCTCGCTCGAATTAGCAGGTCAAAATTAGACCTCGTTTGAATTAACTACCGAAAGTCAGGGACTCATTGCGAAAGATCCAAGAAATTCAAAAGAAAAAGAAGGAAAGGCTAAAGACATACAATCAAGGACAAATCAACTGTTGCGTTCAAAAGGAGAGTAGCATCTTACAAAGGGCCAAAAGGGGGCCCCATCCAACTAACTAAATATAGGATAAAATGTTTTTAGTACAAAAGCTTCACTCAGCATTATTCTTATCCACGTCGTCACTTCTCTCTCCGTTCGGTTCGGCAGATTCACCTCCACCGTCACCCTCTCCATCAGGATGATCATAATTAAAGGAAATCCCATCCACAGCCTCATCGTCTCCACCAGCCTCCGATGTCGCGGGGTCATAACCGCAGACAAGCCGGGCCTCACGCGCTTTAACACAAACCTTTTCAAAATTAGCCTAAAAAACATTCCCTGCTGCCAACAAGCCCTTTTATATATCCCGCTGAGCCTCAATATGGACCCACATCTCGTACAAAAAGGCGAGGAACGTTAATAGAGGCGGATGCATGAGAAGTCGAAGCCAACAATTGCGCTCTCTCCGCCTCAAGAGAAGTAATTTGATCACACAGGCTCGAGACGTCCCTCTCAAGCTTGCCAATTCGCTCATCAAGTCGCGCCTCCCTCAGAGCAGTCGTCTTCATCTTAATGGCATGTTCGGACCTGAGAACGCGGATAGACTCTTCTAGCGCCGCAGCTTTTGCCAAGGATGCTACTCGGGCCTCCTCATCCCTCTCCAGCTCGGTTGTCTTCCCTTCCAATTCGGTCACCTTTTCCATTAATTCAACACTTAAATCGGTGACCCTAGCATCACTCTACTCAAGCTCCGCCCGCAAGGCCACCACCTTCGCTTGAAGATCAACACACTCAACTGCAACACCTTTCCCACCTCGAGCTCTTCTTCTTTAGCTTTAAGCAGCCCATCGAGTTCGTTACATCTGCCCATAGACCGCATCAGGTCTTCGTCTTTTCGCTCCAACTCCTCCTTAAGGGACTGAGGAATCGCCCGCCTGGAGCCGCACATGCATCTTGCAGCACTTGTCACGATATCTGTGGTATTTTGAAACCATTTTCTGAAAAGTGGCAGCCCGCCTCTCCTCACGGCGGATACTCTCAGTTTCCAAAATAAAAGTCTGAAGAAAAAAAAGAGAACAGAGAGAGAGAGTCAATAAGAGTAGACGTAAAACGAAGAAAGCAATAAACCCACCCTCAAAGCCATTCCGGCTACGCCCCATGATAAGACAACATCGTTGATTTCCTAGAGGGACTTACTTTCAATAGCAAAACAAAGGAGGGCAAATTGGGCTACCAGGCTCACCATATCCTCCAACAAATGCAATCTGGAGCAATCTCGATCACACGGAGGAACTATCCGTTCCCACCTCCACCCAAGTAAACCCCATTTTAAACATGTTTATGTCCTTGGGGTTAATATTTGAACTGGATTCATAGTCATCAATAACTACACATGTGCCCTCTCGCTGGCCGAAGAGGGAGCACAAACCTGTTGTGAAGTTGATCGACCACTCGGAATAATCGCAGCGGCCTCCACGTTCTGCCCCCTACCACTATAGATTCCTTCATGCTAGAAATGGGCACACCCTACACGCTCGAGGGGGACACAATCTCCTCATCTAAATCGACATCACTAGCGGGCTCAAACACCGCCGACAAGGGATTGTCCCTTGAAGGCCCCTCGGTCTTGGGTACCCCATCAGCCCTTATTCACCGCCTCTTTAATGGATCCTCTTTGTCGTCGTCCTGAGATGATTCTTCCAGAAAATGAACCACGAGAAGCGGAGCCTCCGCCTGACAAGCAACCTAACGATGGCCAAGCCCGGGAAGGGTCGTAGTTTGTAAAGTAGCAGCGGTCTGAATGCTCTCTCTTGCAGCAGAAATCGGTGCAGATTCGGTCGAGAGACCTGACTGACGGAAAACGGGTATGAGAGCCCTCGCCCTCCTGGTGATCCGTCGACCTACCAACGAGAAAAGCTTAAACCAAGGAGGAAAATACAAAGCAAAGGGCAAAAAGACTAAGGATAAGACGAGATAACTCACCGATAAAATGTCTACACCCGAATCTCTCGTGAAATGGGACCATTCACGAATCCCCATCGTATGGGGCAAAACCTATCTCAGCCACTCGCGAATGTCAGTGACTAGCGGAGGAAGCGCCTTATCGGCTGTAAAGTAGAGAAAAAGGGAAAAAGAAGGATAATTAGATCACCGGAAGGGGCAACGAGAAGT